CCGGATCTGACCATTCTTATTTAGCCACGTATTTTCAAGAACTCCGACGGCATGAGGAGAAATATATGATATGTACACCTGATGATTGAAGTGTTATCCTTCAAATTACACTTCACAGTGTTGCTAATGAATTACTACATATATCTAACATCACTGGACACTTCCCTCCTAACACACGCACACACTCACACACACACACACACACACACAGACCTACATTACATATGTCAGACAGAGACAGTCATATTGACAAAGTAACGGCAACATGATGAAAGTAATAGCACAGCATGGAAACAAAAGTATACTATATATACTGTGTGTGTGTGTGTGTGTGTGTGTGTGTGTGTGTGTGTGTGTGATAGAGAGGAAAGTATATATGAGATAATATTTCAAGGACGCTTTGTCCATATTTATCAATATTATCAACATAAATATAATTAGGTCATCAGATTATTCCACTATTTACAGTGATCAAGCAAGACTAAATTGTCATTAAGTTTTTAAAGCTAGTTAAATAGTGCTTTACAGGTACAAAAAATCTGGGAAAAATCCTTAGCGGGTTGAAACAAGGTAAGAATATATTTGTTCCAATAATAATAATAGTAATAATAATAATAATAATAATAATAATAATAATAATAATAATAATAATAATAATAATAATAATAATAATAATAATAATAATAATAATAATAATATTATTATCATTATTATTATTATTATTATTATTATTATTATTATTATTATTATTATTATTATTATTATTATTATTATTATTATTATTATTATGTTTGCATTTAAATCGTCACATACAACTTATCACAGATATTAAAGAAAGCTGTATACATTTCCGTTAAGAAAATCGTAGGTTTTGATGTCTGTATCTGCAGACGATCTGGCCGATGAAACAGACGACACACTCAGCAAAGATAAACTCTTAGTTCCTCTGTCTTCGGGACCGTGATACAATAGGCTGTCATTAGAAGCAGGGTCTCTCGGATGGTAAGAATAAATTAGTCGTATGGTACCATCCTGAAATTCATTGTTCATGCAGATAAAACGGACTTCACATATATGCAGCGCGTAATATTTGTGTAATGATGTATTTCGTAAACGTATGTCACAAGTTTACTTAATAAAAATGTAATATATAATAATAAAAAACAATCTTTTTATAATTGTTATTTTCATATTCACAAAGTAATCAAAAGAAGCAAAATAAGAATGGAAAGGAAAGTTTATTAGTTAAGCATGCATTAAAATGTGGTATTGAATGCTTGCAAAGAGTTTACGTAAAAAAATCTGCTTACAATACAATAACTTCATAGATATGGCTAAAGTTTTTCTCATTCGAGTTGATCAAAATCATATTGAGTTTTATGTATTTACAACATAATTATTAAAATGAGTAAATTTATAATCCCCTAAGGATGATTTACTGAATTGATGAGTATTTGGTTATATGATGGAAAGTGATAAGAAGGAGGGATTCTTCCCGAAAATCTTCACATTAAAATAATGATGTTACCTCAATTTTCTTGTCTTCGACTTTGTCGCAAGTGTCCAATGCTCTAACAAATTTTAGAACAGTTCCAGAATCATTCTCCTCTCCATGAAGCAGAAACCAGTCTTGGTGTTTATCAACCACTGGGGGAGCATGTGCAGTTGTATGATAGTCCTGATTGGAAAATGTTTTCATTATCAAATCTAAATTTCACGAAACTTGTGAAAATTATATCGGTATATTTATAATTCTCGCTATCGATAACAAGTTTTAATGAAAGTGAAACGAAAATGAGAGAATTAGTGCTGGTTTCTATGGTTAAAAATACTGCGGTAAATACCGTAATTTAATCTGAGGGACATAACTCGTAACGTTGAAAGTACATGTACGCCATTGCTTTGACTGGTTCAATATGTGTACAGGTTTTTGGAATGCAATTTTTACAGCATATAGTTTCAAAAGCCTTTCAACTTCGTTTTGCAATACTCATCCCCACTTATAGATACTGGCTTACTTTGGTATTACTTTTGGGTTTATGTATGTGTCTGTGCCAGCTTCTCCACATCCACCATACCATTCCAAAGCACTAACTACAGTTTATATTGATATCCTGACAGCGTATTTAGTACTCAATCCATCAGTTTGGCCATTTCGAGTTATAGCATGTAGTTGGTAAGCACAGTATAAATTTTGCATGAATCAGCGATACAATGCAGTCATTGATTTATTTTATTTAATTTTTTTCATTTTTAATTTGATTGTTTGTTTGTTCTCCGTGTTTTCTTGATTATTTGTTTTATGTTTTTTTAACGTTACTTTGATCGTTGGCAGAACCACATTCTGTTTCGGAACCACCATGTTTTAAGTCAGACATGTTAGTACTGGCATGACAATAGTGAAATCATATCGGTCTAGAAACTTGTTTTCAACGAATAGCACTAATTCATTCAATACTTTATTAAAATATTAGTTAATTGGTTTGAAGCAAAGTTTAAGCAGATCAGACAGCTCTCTATAATATGTTATGTCAAAATCAACATTGCATATTTCTATCTGTTGACTCATACTTATTATGGACATCAATAACTGGAAGGATTGCTTATTTTCATGACCGCGGCTATTGCAGAGGCAAGGATAGAACTGAATTCCCTTATGACATTTTAAGCTAGGAGATCAATGTAAAACAGTTTAAACACCTATAATTTTTACATCAAGTGAAATTTTGTGCATTTGAATTCTAATCACGTGCAAATATTAATCTGCAAAGGTTTATAGGATGACAGCTCAAATATTAAATAGATTTGTTTCTAATTTCAGTCTGAACAAGTAGGAAAAGAAGTAATTGTAACAAGATATCCATCACACAGGATTTTGCCCCTATCATATGCAATAAAAAAATTCCAACAATTTTACCGAATTAAGCTAACGACAATATCAATACTTTTACCTTGTTTTGATAATTATTTTCTCAAAGGTTTAGTTAGCTTCAGTTTTAAGCGACCGTTATAACAATTTCAAATTGCGACTACTTTACACTCTTATTATTTTCCAACACTTCATTCTGGTTAGATCCAGAAGAGTCACTCGCCCAAAATTACGAGTCCTTCGTAGAAACAATGTAAATAATGTTACTCTCTTTCCTTAGATGACACACCCTGCTATTATTTCTGATATTTGTGTGTTACATATTCGCTCAAAAATCTAAAAATTAAACCATTGTTCAATCATGGCGAAGCTAAGTTTTTCTTTCATATTCTTTTGTTTTATAACTACAAATTTGGATATGTGCATAGTAGAGGTGTGTGCAGCACAGTTATAAAAAACAATCCCACTAAAAATCAGTTCTATCTGTGATTGCTGTGAGGCAGAGAGTACATGGGACTTCTGTTTTCTTTGTTTTTTTACTATGGCAAAATTCCTACCATTGAAAAGGATAGAAGAATACTGAATTTCATTTCTATTATAAAACTCCTGGATAGCATTTAAGCAATAGCAGTAAGTCGTCCAAGCAAATGTCTATATTTTCAAGACTCGCGAAAATTGCAAAGGAGTTAAATTCGAGCACTACAACGGTGGAACATAACTTTTTTGGATTGGATTAGAACACCAACTGGACCAGGTGTTTCTTCTTATCTACATTTCAATAAATGGCGTAGGGTGGTTGCTGATATAAATAAATCAATTGGGAACGCTCTAGTTTAAGCCTAAAGGACATACTCGGTCTTTGTTAAAAATGGAGAAATAATACTTATGAATCAAAGAAAGTGTTTTTGCATGGGCAATAAGGAAACAGAGTTTTGCCAATGTTTTTATCGTCATTTTATGACAGTCACGGTTTAAATGTCAGCTCCAGTCATCGGATTTACACTGACGGACCATGATACTGTAATGTATTTTTAAGGTGGTCAACATATTATTTCCTTATATATTGAATATATCAACACTATAGCCTGTTTACTTTCAATGATTAGTGGTTCATAATAGAACATTTCTACATTAAATATTGTGTATTAACAGTTTTATGTGCACCGTTGTTTCATTAAAAGACATATTTCTAAATAACATAAAGGATTAGTTTCCCAAAGGAATATCAAATATGACATTATTTTGTCTTTATAAATTCCAATTATCAGCTGGATTATTACCTCAATCATTATCCTCACATTAGTGCCTCATCTTGCCTCCATTATTAAACTTAACAAAATATATATTATCACAAAGTTATGATTAAAGATACTGAAGTAGTAGATAGATATCGAACAATATTTCCAGAGATTACCTTAAAATGTGTGACTCCATCCTCCACCCACCCAACTACGATATCCGCTGGATACATCTTGCCATTGTCGGACAAACCAAATCCGACATATCCGTGGGTTTTCACGTGGACCTCAAACGTAATGTGGGTGTCATTGAATTTCCAGAAGAGAAGGTAATTTCCGCTTGTGTCCACTTGAATAGAATAGTTAAAGGGTTCTGTTGGAGTAACCCTTAATAACCCTTTTGCAACTGCGAGGTAAGATACTACACCTAAAGCAACGATGAAGTAATTCGCCATTCTCTTGTGCAGTCTCAACAATAGTCTAAGCTTGTTTACCCGTTTCAGTCAGCGAGGAATATATATATATATATATATATATATATATATATATATATATATATATATATATATATATATATATATATATATATATATATATATATATATTACGACACAAGCGGCAGATGAGTAATTTCTATATTAAGAAGTATTCCTACAGATAAAGTCACTGTCACGAGATATGATAACACATTTCAAAGTACAAGTTTAATTGCTCAAGCTTTGGACATGCATTTTAAACTTAATACGATGAAGATTTTTCCTTTATATTTAAAAAAAATACATTCAACGTTTGGCTCAGAAGTATATAAAGTTAATTCTCCTTTAGGCTTTGAAATAATTTACTGCTTTGTGAGCTTTCTAATATGTTATTTTCATTTATTTTTAAATTCCTGTGGATGGCTCCGGTGGCCTAAGTGCTAAGAGCGTCCGCCTTGGATGCGGAAGGTCGTAGGTTGCAACCTAGGCCGAGTCATACTTAAGACTGATATGAATGGTGCTAACAGCTGCCTCACCCGGCACTCAACATTAAGAAACTAGTGTTATGACTAGTCGTCTGGTTTGAATATAATGTGACTTGGTCGGACATCATACTACATGTCTGCGGCATGATGCCCCCCAGTGAATTTACTATATACTACCACAATGCAGTCATCGTAGTGATATGACTGAAAAATTATTAAATCTACGTTTAAGATCCAAATTACTCAAAACTTTATAGATTTGACAGTATTCTGAATAAAAAATACCATCTTATGATGTAGTCATTCTTAAAATTAAATACATTCACAAAGCCAAACTAATTATTACAACTGCAAAATGAAGGGAAAAACGTGTACAAAATATTTCTTTATTCTTTCTTATCTCTTGTTTCTAACATGTGATAAATACTTCAGCTTATCTTTTTGATACCTGTAAGTTGGTAATTTTCCATCAGCAAGTGAGACTTTGATCTCGAGACCAGATAATTATACCAGGTGTGAAAATGGTTCTTGTTATGTATATTTAATTTTTTTGTTTGTCTGTTACTTTAACATTTTTATTCCATTACATGCTATAGTAATGTAACATTGTTTACTGGACTTGACCTTGTCCACAATTGAATTCATTTCTGTTTGATCTGATTGATCTTTTAACCTTCTTTTATTTCATTGATGTAACCAACTAATAATAGCTTTCATTTTCCTATATGGATATGAGTTCATTTACCAAATTATTATGCAGGTAAATTATGCTGATTTGGGTCATCGTTTTGGGGATTCCAAAGTGAATTATTTGGGGTATTATTTTTTAAAAAAAACAAGGCTCCTTAAATTACGCAAGAAAGTTATTTTTATTAGGTAATGGTTATTTTGGAAAATGCTTATTTGTGACCTGAGGACTAAGATAGAATTAATTTTTTTTCTGACTGTCCGAATTTTACCAGTTGTGCTTTAACATCTGGCAATTTAAATTGTATTTATGTTGAGTGCATTTTTGGCTGAATCTTACTTTCTTTACATTATTGATTTTAAGTGATTATTTTCTCTGAAAATAAAACGTGCTCTGACAAAATTATAGTTGATAAAGACATTTAATGGAATTGATACTAAATTCAAATCTGGAATAATATTTATGTGACTCAACTTGAAACTATTGACACATACGTAAGACGCATGCCATACCAAACACGTTATAGCCTTCAATTTTGGACCTTTTAAGATTTGAATAGAGTTCTATGCAGGACATATTATTACTAGGACTTGTGTCCTTTTTTCTTGGATTATTTTTGGATTTAATTCGAAAAACCGTAAGCTCATTTTCTCATTTTCTTCATATTGTATTCATGCATATATACATACATACATACATACATACATACATACATACATACATACATACATACATACATACATGCATGCATGCATGCATGCATGCATGCATGCATGCATGCATACATACATACATACATACATACATACATACATACATACATACATACATACATACATACATACATACATACATACATACATACATACATACATACATACATACATACATACATACATACATACATACATACATACATACATACATACATACATACATACATACATACATACATACATGCAAACATGCATGCATGCATGCCTGCCCACATACCTACCTACCTACCTACCTACCTACCTACCTACCTACATACATACATACATACATACATACATACATACATACATACATACATACATACATACATACATACATACATACATACATACATACATACATACATACATACATACATACATACATACATGAAATGCATGCATGCATGCATGCATGCACGCACGCACGCACGCACGCACACACACACACACACATACATACATACATACATACATACATACATACATACATACATACATACATACATACATACATACATACATACATACATACATACATACATACGTACATACATACATACATACATACAGACAGACAGACAGACAATTATATATATATATATATATATATATATATATATAATATAATATAATATAATATAAATAAATAATAAACATATATTTCTAAATAAATATAAAAATATATTTCTGATTTAATAAGTCTGAATTAGTATATTTCTAAAGATTTCTATCTGAAGAAATATTTATGAATCAAGATAAATAGAAAGAAATAAAAGTATGTTTCTGAATTAATACATTTCTGAAGATATTGGTTAATAAGTATAACTAAATAAATCAATAAATATTTTTAAATAATTAAAATATATTCCTGAATAAATATAAAGATATTTATGACGATACATTTCAGACATATTTCTGAATTATTATAAATAATATATAATAAATAAATAAAAATATTTTTCTGAATTATTATAAATATATTTCTGAAGATATAATTCTAAATAAATTTACGTCTCAATAAAAATAAAAATATTTCTGAAGATATGTTTCTGAATTAATGTAAATTAAATAATTATATATAATATATTTCTGAATTGATATATTTCTGAAGATATATTTGTGAATTGATATAATTAAATAAATAAATAAATAAATAAATGATTTAAAGTATATTTCTAAAATAATATAAAGATATAAATAAATAAATATATATTTCCAAATTTATATTAATATATTTCTGAAGATTTATTTTGGAAGATATATTTCTAGTATTGGTAAACCGTATTATGAACGAGAGTACTCTGTAAGTGCAGTTGTCTACGCGTTGTATCCGATACATAATAAACCCAACGTTGCCGATCTCAAATCTATGAAGTTATCTCGCTTAAACTCCGTAGCTGAGCGAGTTATAGTCTCAAAAGCAATAACGGTTTAGCAGATATAAGATGCAAAAATAATTATTGGGCAAAAGCAGTTAAAGACTCCGGAGCATCTCTCAGCGACGTTGCTAAGCTAGAAATGAAATAAAAATTTCTAATAACAGTGAAGACACTAACCGGAGAGATTTTATACAAAACGAAATATTACATTGATCATCATGTATATGCATAGACGCCCTCGGTTACAATATTTCTTCGAGAAAAAACAGTTAAATTTTATAGTGATTATATATTCGACGATATCAGAAATATCAGTAAGAGTGACCCTGTGTTTATTGCTTATTTTAAAGTTCAGAGTGCGTGAATTTCGATTAGTTTGCATGGGCTATTAGAGACATTTATCTTGCAGAATCTCTTCAAGAAGAAATAAAAATTATTGCGCTGAAATATACACCTGATAATGATGCTATCGAACAATTACTGAATAATTGTTTTACAGTTCCATCAGTTGCGTCAAATCCTAAAAGCCGATAGAGAGATCGAGGACTATATCCGCATGGTAGTCTCAACCTCATTTTTTGTGAGTCGAGTTTTCAATGCATACCTACATTTGAACGATAAGCCGGCGGTTGATAAGTTTGGGTAAGCCTCTTGGCTCAGACTTCAAGCCGCCTTTGACCTTGGCAATAATTTTGAAGAAGATTCTAATATTTTTCCCGAATCGTCATGTTACATTGAAGTGGACGCCGACCATGTGGTTAATATAATTGTGAGGGCGGCTCGGACCTTTAGCATATACGGCTGCCTTTGCCTTAAGAGGGAGATGCGGCACAGCATATCTTTATGAAATAGCGTCTGGTCTTGCCCCTACTGATGCGATTTAGCGTGTGTTTTGGTAGTCAAATAGCAACGGCGGAAACCATGACGATTAGGCATCGATATAGTCTGGAGATCGTTTAGAAGTAGTTACTGACAGGTTGCTCCAGAGGCCTTGCATCTTGCTTTTGCAGTGAAAGTGTTACCATCCTCTCAAACGGCCATGCCTAGGCCTCAGATACTCAAAAGAAACCCCTGTGGACGATAGATTTTTGACCATTGGCCTCACCTCATCCCGCCGGGATCGAAAAGCACTAACTCTTAGTTGACAAAGATACTTCTGCACAGCATGCTTTATGTTTTTTATCGAGGTCGGACGCTTGTTAGCTAGTTGATCCTGTTCGGTGTCGTCCTCAGGGCTACATGGCCTCTCAGCCATGACTTTGTTATGTAACTGAGGTTATACTTTCTGAAGCTAAAATTCATTAATATGGCCAGATCTTTAGAGCTCTGAGCGTCCACGTTGAGGTCACTTCACTGGAAGGAACAGTTCGTCGAGAATCTCATACTTAATGTCAGTCCCATCGCCGCCACTGTCATTCTGCGCACGCAGGATCCCATTTATGCGAATCGAGAGTGAAGCCGAATGTCGATCGGCATGGCGCCGGTGTAGGTTCACCCCGTAGAAACCTCGCATGGGACCATCATGCAATTTCTGTTGTTGTTGGATGAACCAGATCACGTTCTGCTTACTCTCCAGCCCGCAATTCTACCAATAGATAAGGCGTCGCTGTAAATTACAAAGGTAGCCTGCATTCAGCAGGAATGCTATGCCAACAGGATTTAGGCCGTCTCTTTGTGAGTATTTATACCTGTGTATCGTCTAGCTGATTCTCTGGTGGAAGCAAATTTTTAAACCATACTAGACTAGCAATTCTAAAGGTAGCTGACACATTTACGACCATAAAACCCGCAAATATATAATCAGTCTGTTTGAGGGGAGGACTCTTGCTTTTCCAATGGAAAACATAAACTGAATTCTCCATTCTCTTATGTGTGGAACATATGGAGAGTATGACTATGTCATTTATTTCACAATGGAGAAAACATATAGTGTGCTCTTGCAATTTAACATATGTAAAGAAACCAGAATTTGCAACAACAGGAAACTACAATATACACATTTTGTAAATTTATAGTATTAAACATAAAATAATGCCTAGATACTTTATTCGATCAAATCGTATGATGTTAAGTTCGTTACCATATTATGAGGTCAGCTGTATTATTATCCTTGATAATTTATGGTGTGTTCAAGTTCGAACACAATGGCTCTACTTTAAGACTGATCTTTGGGTTTGATTGAATATAAACATTTTAA